GGGACCGGGGTTCGATTCCCCGTCGAGGCAGATTATTGTGTGATGTTTAATCGTGACTTCTACTTTCTACGAACATTTCACTGCTCACAAAAACCAACAAACAAATGGAATAGTCTGGACTCGCTTCCTGATGGATGAAACGAGCATCCATGTTTGTCAGGACGTTTATAGGATGTTCAAATCGATGTACCTATGTTCACCGCTGATCAACTATCTGCGACAATGCGTAGAAGTACAAAACTAGTAGTGGAGTTGGAGGATCGAGTTCATTGCAATCGGGAACCAAGTTGCTGGTGGTCCTGCAACAGTGTTTTGTAGGTGCGAAATGTTTGCCAAATGATGGGACCAAGAGAAGTTTCTCAGCGTTGACTATACCTTTCCTCAGTCGATTGCATCCATAACACTTTCAAACTCCTCCAGAGGGAAAATATATTCCTTCACAGATCTCACAAGATGATGCTTGACGCTTTTAAATTGCATACAGCGCTTAAACGCGTCTAAACATGGGCACTTTTCGTAGTGAGTAATCCCAATTCAACCCATACTATAACAGACGAGTACGCATAGTGGGATGGGTCATACAAAAAACGATAGCATTTAGACTAGTTCGGTCACTTTGGAAGCAAATTGAAAGCGTCAAAGATTAGCATGAAAAAATCTATGGATGAAAATGAATTGAAAGCGCTATGGAGGCGACTGAGCAGAGATACAGACCACCGCAACATCATTAAAAGAAAAGACAATATCGTCCGCATAATCAAGCTTTGCACCGGGCAGCAACTAAACACCTGCCTACACGGTGATTCCGCAAAGGAACACTCCACGACAATGTCCATTAAAAATGGGGAAATTGAGTGATCGTGACGAATACCACTTTTATAGGAAAGAGATCTAATAAGCCACCGTAGACCCTGACGCGGTTTGTGGTGTTCGAGCAGCTGGCACATAAAAGGTTCACATATTTCATGGGAACACCATTCCTCGAAAGTATTTCGAACAGAATGGACCGACTGATTGTGCCGAAATCACTTGAAATTCAAGAACACAGCTAGTATCGGACTGCGACATTTGTGACACTGTAACAGCACGTCGCGGAGTGAATATGTAGCCTACACGGCCCCGCCTAAAACAGAAACCTGCTTGATCTTCTCTAACCCGAGATTCCCGTTCAGCAGTGAGGCGACGAACAAAAATTTTGGACAGTAACTTTGTCACCGTAGGCGTTGAACTAATATCACTATTGGTGCGTCGATTCTTATATAGTGCCACTACGGTCGATTCACCCAAGGTATCTATAATGGTCGCTTCCTTTCAGATCTGTTTAAACAGGGGGGTTGGTGCTTTATAGAGGACCTCATCACTATGGGTGTTTCGTTGTTGCTCCTCCTAACACTTAAATCCCATAATCGGTCTCGTCCTCCTTTGAATTCATCACATTGAGATACCCCGGTCTAGGGTAAAACCCGGCGCATAGTGGTTAACGGCTGACGCCATGACCACTATGCTACTAAGATCCGTCAGACACGCTTGGCACAGCGGTAAGCAGTTCAAAGTTCGCGGGTACCATAAAACCGGGCAACTTTGGTACGCCTTTTTGTTTATGTACCACACATTTATCAGCGCTTTTGATAAAATTATTAAGTGACCTGTTCATAGGTTATAGTGCTATAATGCTGTAGAAAATGGCGACTGATGCGGTTCTAAACCCCTAGGACAGTTGTTTTAAAAGTCTACTATAGGCAAAGTTCAGTATTAACGGGGATCCAATGGGCATGATGACAACACACACACACAGAACCAATGTTGTGTAACGCAAGGGTAAGGGCAGTGTTTATATGTTAAAAATTACAAAACGCATCTATAACATCATCAAAAACTTAAGCAAATTTCTCAAAAAAGTTTTCGAATTCGTCAGACCTTCTTTGATGATGGAACACATTCGTCACCAGAAAAGATTTCTAGTCGGTTGTTACATCGCCCATGGAGGACAACTAGTCGGCTTCTCTCTGATAAACTTTGGCTGCCGTCACTTTTTTGTTCAGCACAAGATTCGGTTCCGGTAACAAGCTCCTCGGTTATACCCAAGACACTTTACCCTGGCTAGAGGTTCAGAACTTTGTTGCGTTGTGATAAATTTGCTTCACCAGTATCAATAAGCATTTCCTCCAGTGGTTGCTTGAATACCTTAGAAACCGAAGTACCGATGGCATCTGCATCTTCTTCATTTTCCTTTTGAATTCCGCAAAGGACAGATTGAGGATATATTGGGTACATGCGAGTTTCTCTAAACCCCGACCGCAAATTTTCTGCTATACCTTCACCCATGGTATCTAGCTGTTTGAGCAGCACCAGGACCTATCCTTCTGGATAGTTTGGGCTCTTTTTGCCACGGGAGCTTTTTTATTTGGTCAGGATGACCCTCCGCTTGGATCTTATAGGCCGAAAGAATGCTACATATAGAGTCTAGCAGAGTTGGGAAGCAACAAAAATTAATATATTGATTTCACTGCAGCTTGACAATATCAAGAGAAAAGTGTGAACTGAAATTGCCACCCAAAGTAACACGACGGCCAGTTCTTCTGAAATAGAAGTTAATGCCACTTGCTGAAACCAGTCTAAAAAACAGGTGTTGTCAAACCAAACTGACCTTGACCTTGTTACATCGTGTGCCCGGTGGACCATTCTCCGACCAAGTGTCCCAAAGCGTTTTTGGCCTCGTACACTACATATGGCGGCTGTAACTCTCTATCAGCGATGACAGCAAACATCAGGCTAATTGAAGACTGACGAATTCATAATCCGCTGGGGATATTTGATGACTTAGACTATTTCGGCCAACTGGTCAAAGTTGCCCCAAAATAACAAAGCTTACGGGGGTAACACTGGCCAACAAGACAGTAATATAATGCATGTGTTTGGGTAACATCAAATGTATTTACTATTAGTTATTTATAAAACGACAACACAGATGCTTATACTTACGCTGTCTTAGAAACTTGATTAACAGTTGAAAGTTTATCGTATGTTAAACAAACGTCATGACGCCGGCAATCTTTGAGATGAAGTATACAGAAGACTGAATATTACAGTTCAACATAAAATGATTCCAAATAAATGAAAAATCTTTAACCCATAAAATCTATTGTCCAACATACGGAATAGTGAAAATGAATCCAATCTAAGTCTTAAATTACTTACCGCTGTGCCAGACGGATTTTAGCGGCATAATGATCATGGCGTCAGCCGTTAACCATTAGGCTCCGAGTTCTACCCTAGACTAGGCTATCTCCATCTGATGAGTCCAAAAGAAGACGAGACCGATTATGGAGTGTAAAGGTTAGGAGAAGCAACAACGAAACACCTCAATTTCGAATACAGTCCTTGTGATCGGAATGACAGACGTATTCTTTAAAGTGAAGAGATATCTCAGAAGAGATTATATGTTGCATCCTAATCCCACAGCGGATACTCCAAATCCAAAGTTGATCTCACCATCATGCTTAAATAGTGCGGGTTCAAGGGGATCCGGACCGACAGATCGAAAACGATTAGGGACTGTGAGTGCGTTTCAAACATCATCCTATAATTGGGCCTCTAAACTAATCGATCATGGTTCAGCCTGCAATACATAAGTAGGTCAACCGAACTGCTTTCGAAAGTGCTAAGCCGGCGCACTTCATTGTGGATCGGTGCATCCCAGCTGCCTCTGATTGTCTCACTGACGTTTGGTTTAGTGCGACCAATGGTACGGATGAGCTGAAAGAGATCCGATACATGACTACAGAGAAAAACGAGGCAATGGGGGCTTAACCCCGACCACAGGAATAACGGCGAGCATCTGTTCATAATGTGCGCCGAACACCAGCTGTCTCCAAGTACCAAAGATTTTACGCAAAGTAGGTACCGATGTGCCGAATACAGTCCTCTAAGCTGGCCAGCGATGGAACCAAATAGATCACGTTGCAGTGGCGTGGTTTCATCCTTGATCATCGCTCGTTCTGGAATACGTGCGTCGATTCTGATCACGCTTTAGTACTTTGTCGCTTATCCATGAACTTTACCAAAAGGCATACCAAGCGCCTCCCTCGATTAACAACTAAAATGTTATTCCAGCCCTCGTTCAAGCTACCCTACCAGGATGCTATCATCGTGTTCCTCGACATCAAAGGTGTCTTCGATTCAGTGATTTGATATGTTCCTTGCAACTGTCTGTTAAGAAAAGATGTATCCGAGAAATATGCAAATATTATCCGAGCGCTTTACGCGCGTAACTCGAGCAGAGTAAGCCTCTACGGCAAACTATCACCACTCTCCAATATCTCCAGAGAAGTAAAACAGGGATACTTGTTGCTATCTCTCTTCCTCAACTTCGCTATTGACCAATACATGGAAATCGCGTTCACTGGACACGGCTTAGGATGTGTGCAGCTGCCCCCAGGTGAACATTGACCTTAGCTGTGATGGCTCACAAACGTATCAGGCAGCACTGCTTGTCAGCCGTTTCGGACTTAGCTTTGCACTCTCAAAGTGTAAAGCTTTCCTTCAACATTGGCAGAAACCGCCTCCGGTTTGGTGGGGATCAGCTAGAAGTCGTTCAGAAATTCAACTATGAAGGGACTTCTATTAACGCTTGCGTTATCGATGACAATGTCACGAATCGTATAGCAAAAGCTCGAAGCGTTTTTAACAATCTTCGGCACCTATGGCGGGGGCGAGACTTCACTCTCGCCCTGAAGGGTAGAGTGTACAATGCAGCGGTACGTTCGACTCTACTGTATGGTTGTGAAACCTGGCCCCTTAGATCAGCCGACATAAAGAGGCTAGTTACGTTGGACGACCGGTGCCTTCGCAGTTTGGCTCATATCTGGTAGCGGAATGCAGACAAACCAGTGAAAGGGATATGAGTTAGGGTTTTCATTCCGCTCCGTTATATCATCAGAAAAAATGGCGGAAGATAGCACTGAATGAGAGTCGAATGACGATACTCACCAAAAAGGCTTGTGCAAGAAACATTTTTTATGAGCTAACGAGAACAGAAGAATGACTGAATACAAAAGATGGGCTAGTAAGAAGGGGACCCTCTCTAGCCATGGCGCATTGAAGAAGTAAGCCGCGTGGATTGGTAATGCCATTTTTGGAGTGACTTGCGGCAAATGAATTCATAAGAAATAAATGGGGAGGTACGTAATAAAAAGGCGCATAAGACAATGCTTATGGAATCAGGACTGGATGCAAAAGATTGAGAAGAGAACACAGGCTGTAGAAAGTAGATACCATTTTCTGCTCATTGCCAATGTGACGAGAAGGAAAGGGAAGCTAGTCGTGCAGTTCCAGACTTCACAAGAGCAGGTTTCCATCCGGTCAGTAATCGCAGCGCAGACACGAAGCAGAGGAGAAACGGGAATAAAACAACAGGTGGGCTGGTACCAAATCTTTCCGGTTATTAGAATGCAGTTCCCGAAACTAAGTGTAAAATACTGAAGTGAGAGGGGGCAAAAGTTAGTGTCAGAATCGACTGGAATTCGAAGAGACTTCGATATGAGCATAAAAAGCGATGGGTGAAACCCAAACGGTGCGCAAGTAACTTCTGAAATGCGAAGATTGATAACTAGGACGTGATATTCAGCATTCTGTTGGAGTTAGGCATCCGGTAAATATGCATGTGAGCAAATTCCGAATTTAGACTGTTTTGTCAATGTCGCTTAAAATATAAATACCCCGAACCAACTAATGGTAACTCAAGCTAGCATAGCACATTTCGAGTATGGATACAGATTGTGGAGAAAATGATGACGCAGCATTTACTGGGAATAAGCAGGGGGATAGAACTAAACAGGTGCAATGTCAAAATCGTTGTTGATGTTCGCAAATGAAAGAGCCATAGGTAAAACTGTCTGTAACGAGGAAACAAGTCACTGTGGTGAGTAATGGTAAAGAATGTACAGTAATGTATGATTAAATTCCTATGGCACAGCACAAACAGTCCTAAGGTTAAGGAACAACGCCGTATTGTGTGTACGGAGGTGTGTACCAGTATTTCACCGTTGGTAGAGAGAAAAGGAAAACGGTTATGTATGCAATTCAAACATATGGCTACATCTTAACGCATAAAGCACCGTCGTCGTCAGCTCTCAAGTAGCCCTGCGTCGGCGAACAAATCACTTCACTAATGTCAAAGGAATACATGAATAGTGAAAATAGAGATCGAGGACATGTACACCTGTGCTGGCGCATCTAAACAGTATGGAGTACGCACGCGGAATAAGAAAATTTATTATCGCGCACTGCCAACGCAGTTCAGTTGTGAATTGTCCTACTCAAATGCCATATGCTCTAAAAATCTATAATCCGCAAAGTGGGTGTCTGGTCATTTCTTGAATATTGACACGGATTTCGCCTTGACTATTTTATTGGATAAACTGTTTCGATATCTTACCCCTGGACTTCCAAAGCAAGAGGGTGATCCAGTACTACAAAGTTGTGCAGGTTCCCGCGAGTGCTGCTTGATGTGCGCACGTACAGATGCGGCCTTAACTTAGGAAAGTCCCCCAGGAGCACTAATCCATGCGTCACAATGAGGTCCAATCGAAGCTGAAAATACAACAGGGTGCACAGCTCCAAACTACTGTATCCGTCTACATGGGACATACCTCTTAAACCGGGAATGAGTCAGGCAACTACCTGATGAAGACGTTCCAGATTTTGCACTTCACCACAAGTGATCAGACAATCGGCGGGTAAGCCCTACTCGAGCATTGGCCTTATCAAGAAATAGAAGGGGCGAATGGCACTGAGACACAACACCCATCTGTGAGAAACCAAAATCCGCTTATCAGTCGAGACGGTTGACAAGCCACACAATTCGTGACAGCATATGACGCACGCTATGGAAGGCGGCCAACGAACATGGTAGGGGGATGACTGGTTGACGTAAACGATCGGAGTTTAACAGACACTCCAGAGGGCTGCTCACCTAACATCGTCGTGCGTATTTCCAGGTTGCTCACTAGGTTTTGTCATGCGAAATGAGCAACGTTCGGCAAGCATTGCTGGTCAAAGTTTAGTAACCTCTCAATGTCTTCGGTGCGAAACTGTTGGATTTCTTAACCATACAGCAACACCGGCATTAGCGCAGTGTCGTACAACCTACATTTGACTGACAGGCTGGATCCGGCGGCGTCAATGGATGATGGGGTCTCCGAAAAGCCACACGGGTTTTGCTGATACTCACAGTAACCAAAAGAAGTGTAATGATTTACTGCCTCCAGTGACTGTTTAGTGATAGTTAGAACAGGTGCGGCTCGGCTCAGTCCAGCAACAGTACATTGTATTTAAGGAGCAAAGATCAAGCCTGAGCATGGAGGGCTAGACGCCATGTTATTTAGTAGCATCTGCATAGCCGATGGGCCCAACTCAAGGACCGCTTGTAATTGGTATAATCAAGGTTTATCACTTGATCACATACCAGAAATTGCACTCCAAAAAAGACTGAGGACAGAGCTAGTTATGCTGACTTCAGTAATACGATTGACGAAAAAATGAGGTATAAAACAACCCTAGCGCACCCCACCTGTAAGGGATGGCTCAAGAGAGAGCTTTCAGTAGACCATCGTTCGGCCACTGGAGTCACGGCAGAGAAATACTACAATGCGAAACACGGATTGATTGCACACGCAGAAGGAACTGGGGGAAGCACGACAGGTGAAAGTATAGTGCAACAGACGTAGAAAAATCGATTTACTTGAGTAACCGTTTATCGATTTCTTTTCGGAGTTCTAAGGAAGGTCGATGATCGGAGGGCACCGGCCTCATGGTCCAGTACTACAGAGTTTGCTCCCAGAGTGGATCCAAACGGCAGCATGTGCAGACGCGCACCCAGGTCGCTTTCTGCCTTGGAGAGGAGAAATAAGGAGCAGTGAGCACTGTTGTTGTCGTCATTTTCAGATACGGCCTCTGCATCGACCGGATCATTCGGCTGTGAGTTCCCGCAACCGGCCAAAACGAGATGCATGTTATGCTCATGCTCCATTTGGCGTCCCGCTTCCAAGAGTGAGGACAATTGCTGAGAAGATGCGGATTTACTCCTTGCACCCACCGGAACAATATTGCGATCTAAGGTTGAGGTTAAATTTTCCGACTGCGATCGCAGACGTGGGTGATAGTCAACTGCTATCAGTGTATCCGGAGCCATGGTGTCGATTTTCGGGGGTTCCAAGAAACCGAGGAGAGTTGAATTAGGCCTGACGGTCTGCTCGTAATGTGGTGATGCGCCCGAATACAAGTTTGCGTCGTGAACAGAATTGCTAGGACGTGATTCATTGGAAAACCGCTGTGATGAAGCGGCTTGTCCATAGAGCATAAACTTCTCCAAATCTGGACAGAAGCAGGGGCTGAGGGAGCCCGGGTGCCATGGTGCAACACCAGGAGGAGGAATTTCCAATTTGTCTAAATGAAAATGTGTACAACGGGAAAACCAGAAACTTCTCGGTTGATAAGTGGTATAAGACACAAAAAAGACTTGTGCTACGTCTACAATAGGTACTTTGTGATAGCAAAAAGATGATCATATATTAAAGGATAATTTTCCGCGTAGATGCTCTTAGAGAACATCAAAGGCAACCCAATTTATAGGTCATAAAGACAAAGGAACTATTCAGCCTATGTATTTGTGAGGTTATAGATGGAAAAAATAGAATGACGATCAACTGTTATCTATACACAGAATCGTACACTACAAGGCTTCGGGAAAAAGAGGATATACCATAGAAGACGCAGAAAGGCCTGGTACGATTATCCGAGCAGGGAGGTGCAGATGATCGATTTGCCCAACGTCATATTATAACTATAGATAGTTTCAGCATAATAAAATGCAGAGAAATTAAAACCAAACCCAACCACGATGGCAAGGCAGAAGAATGACATGCAGAAATACGTGGGCGCATAAAAGATCAGAAGGGAGTAAACTAATTAAATGAGACCAAAACCAATAGACTGCGAAAAAGGTGGAGGCCAGCGAGATATCAAATATTCGCTTTCATGTGCTTCGGGTGTCACCGTTGCCAGACAGGTCAGTGGTCGCATCCTAGACAAAGTTGGCCAAGCAGTGGCGCGGCCTTAATATTCGGCCGTTGCTGTCCTCATCTGCATAATGGACTGAGAATTTCACGTTTCCTTTGTGTCTTCTAAACATTTTGGTTTTAAGACAACTGGCGCGAATAAATTGCTTTTCGATATTTCACATCAGGCGTGTACAGTTATGATGCTAATAACATTACGCTATTTTCAGCCAGCAATTGCAAGGTACAATGAACAATGATTTATAACGGGTACAAAAGCAGGTGCTTGACATATCCCGTAGGGTGGTTAAAGTGGGAAAAGTTAGATCAAGGAATAATGCAATCGTCGGTTAGGGCGATTGCAAATTTAACTGCGCTGCCGTATAAAGGGAGTTTGAAATGAGAATGTGCACACACAAAGCAATAACGGGAGTGGTTGCAGATTACGAAATAAGCGAGAAAAAATAGCAAGGACAACGCTTACTCGTGTGCAGCTATTTCGGGTCGACAGGATACAGAAATCCAGTTTCTGCAGTAGTAACGTTTATCCAGTTGTGTGCAAGGGGTTTGGAGTGACTCATTCTCGAGTAGGGTTATGGCATCGTCCACTGTCCGTTGTGTATTAGTGCCAGCATCTGGTGGTGTAGATGTGACAGAGTATCGTCAAGGTGTTTTTTGTAAAGGGAGAGGGTGGGAGCATTAATTATATGTTCCGGGAGGGCGTTCCAAGGCTGTGACACTCGAAGGGAGAAAACGTTTCACCGACATCCAAGCCGGCTGTACCGCGTGACCAGCTTAAACTGATGACCTATTAACAGGATGTTTTGACTGAGCATCAGTAGGGAATGGCATGGGTGGTTGGGATTTCTCAGGATCAGGTACACTATTATGAGATCGCCCCTTAGACGCCGATAACGTCCACTGTATATTTTGAGAGTCTTCAGCCTGAGTGAGTAGGGGAGGCTGGTCAAATCTCTGACGCTCTTCGTTGCTCTACGTTGTGCAGTGTCGAGCGCAGTAAGATGCTGCGTGAGCCAGAGTTGACATGCTTGAATAGCGTATTCCGCGTGCGGTCTCATGTACGCACTAAGCATTTTTGGACAGACGGAAGGATCAAATTCCCGAAAGCTCTGCGAAGAAGGCCGAGGTACTGGTTCACTTTCTTAGATGCCTTTTCAGTCGGCTTCAAACAACCGAGGTCATCTTGAACTAGCACGCCGAGATCGCACTCGTGAGAAGCCCGCTTTAGAATTTGTGGTCCTAGGCGGTACTTGTGCATACTCTTGTGCCGTATGCTGAGAATTTGCACTTGGTGAGGTTGAAATGCAGCATGTTCTTGATGGACCATGTGTGTGCTTTGCCCAGGTCCTCCTGTAACACTGTGTGGTCCTCTACTGCAGCTATAGTACGCCATAATAAATAAATAATAATGATAATGTGTCAGCTGTACGCGGTAACGGCGCTTCGCTGCCGCGCGACCACCACCAGTCGCGCGCGGGCTGAGTATACCGCGAGGACGCCCACCCCCAAGCGGATTCGAACCGGTGACCATATGGTTGCAAAGCAAACGTTCAGACCACTCGACCACCGGCCATACCTTTAGATCATAAGCAAATACCAAACAGTTAAAAGGTAGCACGCTCGCGAGATCATTTATGAAAACCAGGGACAGGCGGGGTCAAAATACCGTGCTCTGAGGTACGCCGCACTGAACTTCAATGGATTCGGACAGATTGCTTCGAACCCTCACGTTCAGGTGACGTTGCACGAGAAAATTTCCTATCCAGTCCAGAACAGGATCGTCGATTCCATATTTCTGGAGTTTGTGGAGAAGAATGACTTTGAGAAATCCAGGTCGGCCGCGTCGACTTCTACACCAGCGTCCAAAGATCCTGTCCAGCTTGCGCGAGCAATCAACAAATTAGTGGTACAGGACCAATTTCCGTCCTACTCCGGAACGAGAATTTTGTTGTTCTCCAGGTACCTCATCAAAGCTTCAGCTACAATGGACTCCATAACCTTGGAGATCACAGGAAGTAGTGTTATCGGGCGATAATTTGTTGATTCAGCACAGCTGCCACTTTTGTAGATTGGCGTGATGATTCCATGCTTCCACATCGTGGGGACATGCATCTCGTAAAGACATCGTTGAAAGAAAATTGCTAGTGGCGCCGCCAAACTCATGGCAGCAACTTTCAACGACTTCGGACGAATGCCGTCCGCACTCGGGGAGCTGAACTCGCGCAGACATCAGCCTCTTCAGTACAGCTGCGGAGGTGAACGATATGTGATTAAGCCCTGATGGCGGTATTATCTGCTTAGGCAGGATGTATGATGGTTGCACGTTTTGGAAGGCACGGCCAAATTGATGTTCAAGAATGTTGGCCGCTTGTTGTGCGGTTTGGTAGTAGATGTCCGGATAAGGAAAGTGTACAGTGGCGCGCCTGCCGGGTTCCGCCCCCAGGACTTCCGGATGCCAGCAGCTAGTGCCATTTCGCGGTGACATCCGCGGACAACTGACGAGACCCAGAAGGACGAAACACCGGGATCTGGTGCTTTTCCAGACTAGCTAAAGCCTGCTGACTGAGAGTGGACCGTGATGAACTAGCACAAATCTCTTTAAAATTGCTTTAGCATAGGTGGGATCCCAGACGTTTGGAGATTGGCCAGAATAACCCCAGTGGCCAAAAATAGATATCAAAAGTATTGCTCGATTGTGTGCGCATCTGAAAGTTTTCGAAAAACTGCTACTTCCCCGGATTTTCGCAGCCAGCCCTGTTGACGACAGCTATCAATTCGCATATAGACCCCATCGCTCTACACTAGATGCAGTGGCATATCTAGTTCATTCCATAGCGTCTGCACTAGACCAAAAATGAAAATATGTACGACTTCTCTTCCTTGACAATTCGAGTGCCTTTGGAAACCTGGATAGGCCAATGTTGCTCAACCTGCTACCCGAGAATGGAGTCCGCCCGGGTATAAGTAATCCGTTGTGTGACGATTTTACGAATCGTATCTACTTCATTAAGCTAAACGATAAGAAATCCACTGTCCAATGTGCCGACTATGGTATTCTGCACGGAACGATCCCATCAAGTTTCCTATTTTCCTTATATATCGAACGTCTAGCTATACAAACCATGCCTATAGGACGTAAATAAGCCAAACGCATAAGGTCACAGGCGAAGGTTATCGTGCAAAGATTAGGCGGCATCAGCGAGACAGCTTCCTTGCGGTTTTCACTGGCCCGGCGTCATAACCAGCCATTAAACCGTGAATAACTCAGCATCAGACAATAAAGACAGACAGTCTGATTAGAAGACGACAACAGGAGCACCACTGATGTCAACTGCGAGCAATGTCCTGTAACGGCTCGAACCAAACACCAGGTGATTCAAGTAGACCCAGTCTGGAAGGCGAGACGAGGTAACATCACCGAGTTTTGTAGTCAAACAGTTCATTTCCTGCGGCGAAATTAACTTCTGCCCACCCCGAAACTTTTGCCTCCGTACATACGGCATAAAAGACGGTGACCAGTGGTGCGTATTTGGAAAAGGCTGTGATACTTGACTACTACTCTGATGCAACGAGACCTGACCTTGATCATATGCGACGAGTTGAATACATTTTCGATTCATTCAGCTATATTGGATGGTGCCCCCGGTCCTTTGAGAGCTACTACTACCAGGTTGGTCAATGGTTAGAGGTGAGACAAATGCAGTCTCCTGATCCTGCAGTTTGTTGTCTTGAAATGGGATGGCAACGATTTCTGTAAAACCAAATCGCGGTCACTTCTCTGCTGCCTTGCGGACAGGCTTTTGAACCAAAGGCTTCAGTTGAGGACCTTAATTATTCTGCAGTCTAGGTCTCGGTGCTCTGGCACCACCGCTGCCCACATACAATTATGACTAGCTCCTCAAACTTCAACCACATCCCGCATCAACTGTCGCGCATTGTAGCAAGGGTCATCTTATCTGCTTCATACACCAAGGTGGATGGGTGGAAACATGCTACCGCTGGCGCCTCCCTTCTTTTTTTTCCATCTGTTACTCTTACTCCCTCCAGACCTTCATTACTAACCTACATTTCACTACCTACGGCCGAAATGATAGCAGATACAATACCACTGCAGTGCTACAATTTGCAAGTATCTTCTCGCACCATCCGCTGGATGTCTATCGGCCAAAGCCCGTCAGAAAACCATGCGGTGCAAATTCCCTGTGGCTTTCAAGATTAACACTCTGAGACAAATAGGTTAACAGGCTGCACACGGGCGCACGTCCGACACCCTGGGTATTCACATGTTTACGTAACGAAACTAGCAGCAAGACACCCACAAGGTTGCTTAAAAAACCGCACTCGAGTTGTCCTCCCGCTAATGACCAT